AATATTTCTATTCCTATCACATAGCTTGCCTCGCCCATATCTTTCATTTCAAAGTTACTAGAGAGAAACTTCTTAGTCTCATGAAGAAGACCAAGATCGTTAGTTGCAAGCAAGATGTCATCAACATATAGAATTAAAAATATAACTTTACTCCCACTGACCTTCAAATATATGCATCGATCAACAATGTTTTCTTTAAATCCAAAGGAAACAATGGTATCATTAAACTTTAAATACCATTGGCGGGAAGCTTGCTTAAGTCCATATATTGATTTCTTTAATTTGCACACCATGTGTTCCTTTCCTTCAACCGAGAACCCCATTGGTTGGTGCATGTAAACATTCTCCTCCAAATTTCTATTTAGAAAGGCGGTTTTCACATCCATTTGATGTAGCTCCAAGTCATAATGGGCTACTAATGCCATGATAATTCTAAAGGAATCTTTTCGTGAGATAAGTGAAAAAGTCTCTTTGTAATCAATGTCATCTTTTTGAGTAAAACCCTTAGCAACAAGTCTAGCCTTGTACCTTTCAAGGTTGCCATCAGAGTCACGTTTAGTCTTAAAGACCCACTTACAACCAACTCTCTTGCAACCTTCTGGCAATTCTACAAGGTCCCAAACATCATTTTGTTCCATGGATTTTAATTCTTTTTTCATGGAATTTAACCACTTTTCATAATTATCACAACTTACAGCTTGTGAAAATGAAACTGGATCATTTTCATTAATACTTGAGTCAGTTTCTAACTCATGTAGATATACCATATAGTCATTTGAAATAGTTGGTCTTTCTCTTTGTGACCTTCTTAATACTATTTCTTGTGGTTGTTCTACAATAGGTTCATTATGAATCATGAGTTCATTATTGTGTTGCTCTTCTTCATTGTTGTTTGACACAATAGTTAGAGGAACACTTACTTTATTGCCAGAGGCATAAGTCAAAGGAACTTGCATTCTAACTTCGTTGACTTTCACTTTCTGTGGAATTGTATTCCCACTGACTAATTTGTCCGTCGCAATTTATCATTTTTCTTGTAGTGATCTATCAAAATGTTTCTTTCTATGATGGGTAAGTCAACACTCATCATAAAAAAGTTAAAGTCAAAAGCTAATCTACACATTCTATGACGAATGCTGACTTATCTATCATAAAATTTTTTATAACAAGTCCAACACTCATTATAAAATGTTTTGACATATTTACAAGTATGTCATTGTATCATCTTCTATGTCATGTGAATAACACCAAACATAAAAAGATGTGTCAAACAATCTTATTTTTACACTAATGATTCTCTTAAGCATAAGAAAGATGAGGCTCCAAAACCCTCTTTTGCTAACTTTGTCACTCCTCTCCTGAGGTTCCAACCGATTAATTAAATGATAGGTTGGGGATCTTAAAGTCCAAAATCTACCACTTAAACAAAACTTAACTTGGCTAATTTATTTTATTTTAATTTATAAAACTATCTTTTATTTATTCTTAAAGTCGAAACTAATTTAATTAATTTAAACCAATAAAAAGAACTCATTATTATATTTATTATTTTTAATGATGAGAAGCACGATGTTACATTTTTGGAGTTTAGGGATTTTGGGAGTCTGACTTTATCTGACATATACATGTAGAGAAATTTGGAAATTTTACTTTGTTCTTTCACAAAACTATACCAGCCACTGGGCATTTTATACACTATTTTTCCCTTCATTAATTTCTTGAATGGATTCAAGAATATACCATTTAATTAATTTGGTCTTTAGCTTGGGTGTATATATATAGAAAACCTCTTCTCGTAAATACCCAACAACAATAATAACATCTTTCTTCTTTCAATAATATTTTCGCGTTAATAAAATACATTTAATTTGGTCACAATTTTTTCAATCTGTCAGGCTGTAAGCTGCGACTTGAAGCTTGAGGATGTCATCTTTAGGTGAATTATGATATCATCCAACTTGAAACTAAATGCAAATCTATTGAAATTTATTTAAGAAACTCATTTATTCCAACATATCTTCTCATATAAATAATGAAATTCTTGAATACACATTTGAAAAACAAATTATATATTAATAGCCATGGAGTAACTGTTCATCAATCCCGAAATTGAGCGAGGGAGAGTGGAATATACTAGCAAACGGCAAGAGGCATATTAAAATGGTAATAAAGGAGAAGCAGCCCTAGGATTTCAGTGCCCGATCCAAAAATCAAATTGGAGAGAGAAAACCATCTACTCTTTTCCCCCCTATCTAGCTTGCTATCTACTACCAGTCATGTCATCGCTCATACCAGTTTAACCTAATCTAAACTTGATACCATAATTTGGTCGTGTCAATTTTCTGGAAAGGTCTTATCATGTCTCAATTAGTAATAATTGGATGTTTGACTTAATATTTTCATCAAATATATTAATTTTTGTGATATTAAAAGAAATTCAAAGTAAAAAATAATTAAATTTAAGAAATATTTTGTAATTTATAACTTAAAATAAATTATATCGGTATATTTAATTAAAATTGTTTTTTTATTTATTGCTAAAATAATTGGAATTTAAAACATTAAGTAATGGTGGATATATCAATTTGAAACAACTAATCGCTTGTTTGGTGTTGCATTAGAACTTCTTAAATATGTATGCTTGGAGGAAAAATATTTGGTCAATATTTTAAATCAAGATATGTTTCTAAACATAATTCTTGCAAAAATAACTCTTACACACTTTTGTTTAGGGTTATAAAGTTTATATAAAATTTTACCATAACTCAATTAATCCTTGAGATGAATAACGTTGTTAAATATAAACTACTTCGCACTTTAAATTTAACTTTAACTGAAACTAATTTTATAAAAATCAAGAGAAGGTATAATTAAATATTATATAAACGCTTATTCAAGCCCAAACAAACACTAAAGGCATGATCCGAACCTGAAAAACCAAATGGAATTCATATAGAACTTGAATCCGTGGAAATTAACTGTGGGCTGGACTAGGTATTTGGATAGGAAGGGCAACATTACTTTAAATTTCCATAATACTCGATACAAGGATGGTTGATATTTCGTAGAACCACATTGAATCCCCTTTAATTTGCTTTACAACCTTTTCTTTTTATTGATTCATGTACATGCTTTTTGCAGTCACTCCCCTTTCAGTAAAAACCCGTTCCAAATACTTGCCCTCTTTCTCTCCTAGGGCCCCCTCTAACTCTAACTAGGGTCTAGCCACCTTTACATAACCATATATCAAACATTTAATTGAGAGAACCATAAAAGCTTCAAGCTAAGGTAATTAAACCTTCTTCCATTCCCCAATTCAACCTCACAGCTGTCATCCTCTTACTAGAGGAGATACGTACGTAGTACTTAGATTATTATTATTTATAAGTGGTGTTTCATTTCAACTCATCATATATTCAGATCCAAAATTAAACCCTGTTTATTCTTCCTCCATGCTCTCCTTAATTTCCCTTTTATTTTTCTTTTTGAGCCAATTAATCTTTAAAGAATCGCCAAATTAAGCTACAACACAGAGCGATCTGAAGCACCAGCCCCATCCCATATATTTCATATTTGTTTGGTCATGAACACCAACAACCAGAGTGCATTCACAAATGTGAACAGCACTTGGAACCTTGAAAAGATGGAAACAAATGAACAACAAGATGATCACCATGATATTATTCTCCAAGTCCACGACCCTATGAATTCTGGGATTTGGCCCAACAACTACCAAAACCAAAACCTTAACCTTGTTCATCAAATGCATCAAACACCAACCACAACCTCTTCCTCAGGGTTCCTCAGTGACATACTAGGCGTACACAACGTAGAAGAAGATGAAGAGCCAGAAGAAGAGCTTGGAGCCATGAAGGAGATGATGTACAAGATCGCTGCTATGCAGCCAGTGGACATCGACCCCGCCACCATCCGAAAACCAAAGAGAAGAAACGTTCGCATCAGCGACGACCCTCAGAGTGTGGCTGCACGCCACAGGAGAGAGAGGATCAGCGAGAAAATCCGCATCCTCCAAAGACTCGTCCCCGGAGGAACCAAAATGGACACAGCTTCAATGCTTGATGAAGCCATTCGCTATGTCAAGTTCTTGAAGAGACAAATCAGGTTGCTCCAATCCATTCCTCAAACCTCACAACCGCAACCACAATGCATTACCACTCATCATGCTAGTAGCACCTTCTTGTTAGCCCCATCTTGTGATTGGTCTTTTGCACCAAATCTGTTACTCAGTTCCACCGCTGTCGCCACCGCCGCCATCGACATGCCGCCCGGACTCGGATTCCATGGCCATGCTCATGCTTGTGATGCCTCCTCCAGCTTCAATCATCATGAGGTAATCAGTGAATAATTAGTATTAGTAGGGGTTATTGATTATTAATTATATTAGGTTAAATTATTATTGTATATGTATATGGAATTGAGGAGTGTTTAGCATTAGTGTATGTGTATGTTGATGAGTGTATGAGTTTGGGGGAATTGAAGAAAAAGAATGAAGGGGGAATATTTTAGGGGAGGGGAAAGGTTTGTTAGGATGTTGTTGACTAAAGATTGTGTAGAATAATCATAACGGTTGGCTTGGTTACGTACTAGAGCCATATATATATATATATATATATATATATAT